AGGTGACCTGCAATTCCACGGCCTTTTGTTTTAGCAAATCAAATTTCATTATTTATAAGGCGCAATTTCACACCTGGCATCGCAGGGCGCACTGCAAAGCCTACAATATAACCAGGTTAAGAACAAGGTAAAATGATTAAAAAGACATATCAATCCCATTTGGGATGCACTGTGGGACAGTATTTTTTTCTTTTTCTAAAAATGTAGCACACCAGCTACAGTAATTCGTCTTAAATGTGCACATAACAAGCATGCATCAGCATGCTGTCGGTTCTGGATAAAGGCTGCTCCTCACCCTCTCTGTTGCAGATGCACTCAGGGTACCTGTACCTTACCTTTTGTGGACACAACCAAAACGGTAACAGACCAGTTTCGGATGTGTAACTAATGTCCTTTTGGCCATGCCTGACGTAACTGTGCTGCTGAGTGCCCTAGACTGCACCTGCTTAACGGTGAATCCCTTGTTGCTATCAATCCTCAAGAACAGCATCTTTAGTGTGCAAATGTGACTGCTGCCAGAAACACTGTGAGGCTTGGTAGAGACTGAGATACCCTTAAAACACACTTGGCTGTAATGGCTTGCAAAAACTGTTCTTATAGTTTGACGTACAGATGGATTACAATTTGCCAGTGCAAAAACCTAACAGCACGCTTGGATGCTTTCTCACATCTTCAAAACCTGATTGTCCTCCTTTTCTCTATTTCTCCCATTTTTGCACGTTTCTTGTGGATCAATGTGGATCTTAATGTGTTCCTTGACTTGCTCTGTTTTAACAATTTAATTGAGCTCTTGTTAGAAAGTATTGATTACAATACAACCCCTTCAAACAGGTCTCTTTGAAAACATGTGGTTCTGAGGAGCAGCTCAAATATGCACTTACTTGTCACATTTAAATAGTGTTTTGCCTCCTTTATAATTATGAGAATCACGCCTACAACTTAATTGCTACCCCTTCGTAAGATTGCATTTCAAACACGTTTCAAAGAAATCAAAAGAGAAAGCCATAGCTGTATTTTTCTTGTCAAAATATTTTAATTTGAAGTACTTGAAACTTAAAAGAATAGGTAGTAGGGTTTTGGAGTCATGGTAACACAGTGGCTAGCATTGCTGCTTTGCAGCTCTGGGGCCCTGGTTTCTGTGCCTGGGGAGATGTCTGCGTGGAGTTTGCATGTTCTCCCTGTGTTCCTGTGGGTTTCTTCCTGGTGCTCAGGTTTCCTCCCATAGTTCCACAGACAAACTGGTGGGTTAATTGACTTCTGGGAAAATTGGCTCTGGTGTGATTGTGTGTGCCCTCTCATGGGCTGGCATCCCATCCAGGGTATACCCTGCCTTGTGCCCGTTGCTCCCTTGTGACCCTGTATTGGGTAAAAAGGTTAGAAAATGGATTAATGGGTGTATCATTTTTTTAATTTGGCTTTTGCCTTATTTTGAAGATAAGGTACTACTACATATACTGTACAAAGAGGAAATCTGAACAATGATCCCTCTGTATAATTATGACTGCATGAAGGTTTGTATGGCAAAATTGGTTCATCAGAGAGCAAACGACAGGGTGTTGTAAGTATATGTCCAAACACATGCCTTCAGGCTGCAAAGCACTGACTCCTGAGTCCCCTGTGAATCTTATACGAGATAAAGTGGTTAGAAAAGAGGTGGATGGAATATTTTTCAGTTACGCTTTTGAAACTTAAATAAAAAGTAGTGAGTTTCTGAATGGAAATGTCCTAGACCTTTGCTGATGCTAGAGTGCCGCTATACAAGCAAAGAGCTTGTCGATCTGTTTCATCTTTATATTCTGAAGGTAGTCCGTGGCACTAAATTGATATGAGCAAAACAATTGTGCTGCAGGGGTGTGTCACATGCAGTTAACAGAAAAGCACATCACTACTCAGGCTCACAACAAGTATAGCTGCTGCCAAAGCATCAGGATAGGCAAAAGAGAGAGGGACGCTCTTGAAAATCACTACAAGCTTTTAGTCCAATTAAAATGCTAGCTTGTTTCATCTTCACTTGTATTCCTTTTCCATGTTTGCTTAGTCTGTCTTTTTCCATCCTGGGACAGTGGTGCACCACAATGCTGGGTTTCAGGGCTGCTGTCAGGGGCTACACAATGGGTACAACTGCAGGTGCAGCAGCAGCAGCACTATAAGGGATGATGCCCTGACCTGCTTCCCCAGAAAGCAAAACACCTGAGGGGTATTAAACTCTCCCTTTCATCCTTGATGGGGCTGAGAATAGCAGCTTCAATATTCACATGTACAGTATAACGTAACACATGTCTCTGCTTGTCTTCAGTACAACAGGCTTTATTCAAAATGAGATTCTGATCTTGGATTCCAATTTGCCTCACCGTTTGTTTCCTAAAAAAAGGCATTGTTTTGCTGAAACAAATAACTAGAACGTCACAGCAGTGAAACCAACCGACACTGAAGACAACAGACGGACAGAGCTAGACTAAGGCCTTCCCTGAATGCCACCAGTTCAATCAGTGAAACAGTGTCTCATTCCTCTCTCTCAACCACCGAGAGAATCCAAGCTTGAGGTCAAAACTAGAGGCAAAGCGCTGAGGAAATCCTAGAGTTGAGGTCGGGACAAAGCGGGCTCAAGAGATATCTGAGCAGAGATGCAAAGCCAAAGAGCTTTCACAGCACACACTCAAGAGTCTATATACCAGAGCCCCGAGTACTCTAAGAGTAGACCTTACATTTTCTGCATCACCTGAGGATGTACATTGCCTGCAGGTGATAGAGGTTTCCTGTTGGAACATGCTTCCATGGCAACCGGCCCTGAGTGACAGGTGAGTGGAGGTGTGGCCAGTTACCACTGAATGCTAGCCTGCTCTGCAGCGTTCCAGTGGGAGCAAGCCTGACAGTGGGGTTGCAGTTCACTGTTGGATAATTTCCACTCCTATAGGGAAAGTGCTTCCTCGGGAGATCTCCTGTGAAAGATTTTTAAAGTATTTTCTTTCCTTCTGGGTACCCACTTCACTTTCCAGGAGGGGAATACCTGCTCGAGTGTGATGAAGTGCAATAAGTGAGCATGAGAGATCCTCCACATGGATCCATTTTCACAACTCAAATTCAGATCCAATGATCCTAGGAAATCACTTAACAGGGAAGAGGTAATAAGCTCACGCCTCAGAAGTTGTTGCAGACGCTGCCCTTAGTGGCAGTGATAGTATTATTCTAAAATCGCATCGCAACACAAATATTGACTTTCTCTAACTTGTGCTTGATCATCAGGTGCTAAAATGTTGGCCCTGCTGTTACTGTTGCCAGTGATCAAAATCCAGCACTTGTGTCTGTGTATCCACCAAACTACAACATAATGACAGGCTTTCAGAAATATTTCATAATTCTATTTCAAAAGCATGACTGTGGAGAGAAGGTCACCACCAGCAGCCCATATTGCCAGCTGAAAGCTTTCTCATAGTGAGAGCAATGAGCTCCAGCCATTAGGATCACAGCAGAGAAGTCTAAACCGCTCAGTCTGGTGATTCAGTCTTCACCGGATCTGTGTTGTGGTAAAAATAAAAAGCCATTTAAATGTATGCAGGAAGGATTTCATAAATGAAATGGAAAAAAAAATGTAAATGAAACTTTTGAAAGGAAAACTTTCTCTAGCAGAATTGTGTCATCATATTTTCTTCTTTTCCACATATCTTTCTCATAGACCCATTGTACTTCAACAAGATGGCGCCTCTACTGTGCAGGGAACTACAGAAACCCTGCTACACATTTTCACCTACTATACCTCCTTTCACACGGATTTGTTCTCCTTTTTGACTGATAATCTCTGCTAAAGTTTCACTGAGCTTGTAATGGATTTATTTTACTAATGAAATGAAATTGGCTCTGTACGTCCTTTTCTACAGATGTAGATCTTTTCCTTGGGAAAAATAAGTATACCAACTCAGATTTATTGCACTTCAGAACTAGGGGGTAGTAATAGTCAAGTGTTCAATGTGCTGGGTTTTCGCAATGCATTGTTTGGGATTGTAATGTAAGCAGCAAAATAAACCCACCTTTGTGTACCAGCTCATCCCAATTTGTTTAGTCGTGTTGTAGATGTTGCTTGGCAATTGCATTGTATTTGATTTGATGCTGGAGCTTGGAGATTCCTTGTCACTGCTGGCAAATAACATAGTCCAGGTCCTGAGCAACTCCAGGACTCCGGTTTCAAACTGTGCAAAGGATTCCATCATCTTTGCCAGCCACAGATCATTCTTAAATAGCAAAAAACTGAAACTGTGTTACGTTACAAACTATGTTTGTTATTTAATAATTCGATGTTTCACATGCTTTCAACAGGTGTTCACGTGCATGCGTGTTGAAGGACTCATGCAGTCACGGAAGGAGTCCTTCACAATTTAAGTCTTGATCCACGAGTATGTTATCAGTCCCAGTGGAACAATTTTGGGTACAGTCAATGCACACCAGAAACTTAAATCAGTATAGAAAGACATGATTGTCTATTGGTTAAATACAATGCACATATATTACTTGGGTATTGAAACATAAAACATTTTATAGGCTTCAAATGATTAACATACAGTACTTCCTGTTGGAAACTTTATAAATATTGGCAAATGGTCCATCACCAAAATCCATTTCATCTCGGTTTTGAATATAAACTGCAGACTGTAATTGAAAAAGGAATTTTATTGTTATGAGGTGATATTCAGGATGTGTTTTACTCCAATGAAGTGCTGTACATAATTACTTTTTTAAATGACTAATTCATGAAACATATGTCTGAAGAAAATTCTAAAAGCACGAAAAGGCTGCCAAGCAGAGTGTTGTAATTCAGAGCTTTACTTCATGACCTCACTCCCCCAGCATTAAGAATTTTCCTTGGTCTCAGCGCTTGCTGTTCAACTCAGATTACAGAGACGGGGTATTTGTGGGGAGTGAGCTACGACAGGTGGATCTATGTCGTAAATTTCTTAAATTTATATTTTTACCTCAAAAGCGTCATGTGTATTTTGTTATTTTCCCAGTTAACCCAGTGCGCAACAGAAAAAGCCTACCATGCCTGGTCTCATCAACAAGGGAAAACGGAGTGCTCTGCCACTCAGTACCTCTGAAATCACTTCCTGTGTCAGAGGTTACACCTTGGCAATGACAGCTTCTCTGACCTACAACAACATAGAGGACCATCCTATAGAAGGTAAGCTACCCAGGTGCAAACCTCATAGTAAAAGGTAAAAATGTAGAAAGCCAAACAAAATTATCTATGCACTCATCAGAAATGTACACATTGAGCGATATACAGTAACTTTATACTTTACTCAACTGTCACATTAAAAACTCCAAAACTGTTGTAGCAAATGGTTTAGGAGATGATTCTTGTAGGTGTAGCTGAACCTTGTCCTTGGGAAATTTAAACTTTTAACATTTTTTCCAAGTTGGGAAATTTGTTAGAATATTAGAGACAGCGAAGATTGTTTACTTTGTCTCCTTCTAAGATACCTGACTTGTGTGTGCTGGTATTCTTTTTTTTCTTGGCCTCAGACTCTGTTTAACATCACCAAACATCCAATTATCTCCAAAATCAGTTACACAATCGCAACACTACAACATTTGTTCATACTACATGTCCCGGCAAGCAATCATCATGTCTGCTGTAAAGGCTCGACTCTCCTGCCACTGGCAGCAACCTAGTGAATCTAATACCCATCCGAATTGAGAAAATGCACCACAAAATAAACAACAGGGGCTTGTGTAGCAACGGTATTGTAATACAACTCTTAAGGTAAAATCTGAAGAGTAGGAAAGACTGCATGTCTAGCCCTCAAAAGTGATATACAGTATAGCACACTGATGAGAGAGGAAGGTATTTACAGGCATGTTACAGTATTATTTTGTTATACAAGATTGAATAGAGTGAGTTACATTAAATGTTTTGTAGTAAAGCACAGTAAAGCAGTTGCTGAGATTATTGCTCTGTCCATGAGTACCTGCTTCTTAAATTTAAAGCCAAACTGACTCGATACCACAGTAATCAAGAAAAATAAGCATGCAAAAATGACTGCAAAACCCTTTTTGGTTTACTAGGGCAATCAAACAATGGGAGTGTTGAGAACAGGCGGCAGAAATTATTAATGCAATTTCTCTCTCTAGTGCTTTTCTACAGCCTTTTCTAAATAGTGTGTATCCTCATCAACCTATTTCATTTCACACCTGATCAAACAAACGACACCCAGCAAAATTGGGAAATGATCTTCCCAGATAGCGATGGTGAATGTTAAAACAAAATGTTTTTTATGCATTTATCATACTTTTATGCATTTTTGGTTAGTGCTGACTTATGGATTTTTTAATACTAATTACAGGTTGATATCTACTGTAAATGAATTAGAGAAAGTGTGGTTTTACACACCACTCCAAGCATTGATAACCTAATTTTATTCACTAACATTTGGTGCAATGACAACAGTTGCAGTCCATCTGCTATCACCTAATTGAAAGTCACACGTTGGGACTGATAACAGAGAAACAGAGCTTACTGGCTTGTATGTTTTCCACACAGCTAGAGGGCCAGCAGCTCAGAGTTCAGCTGATTAACAAACACAGGAAATAAAAAATTACAGTTTCCAAATCTGTGTAGAAGAGACAGAGATAAGGCTGAGATGTCGAGTGTTTACTGTAGGTGGTCTCACTGATGCTGGGTGGCACCAGCAGACAATCAATCAGGGAGACATACAGTATGGACAACAGCAACTGAGAAAGTCCTGCGAAACCTACCAGTTGGTCTTTGGACAGTGGGAGGAAACCAGTTCACCCAGAGGAATCCCTATGAGAACATGGGGAGAACTTACAAACCCCACACAGACAGCACCCCAGGTCTGGAATTGAACCTCCGTGCTGTGAGGTCACAATGTTAGCCATTGTGCCACTGTGCTGGAACATGGCACGTTGAATTCCAATTCAACAGCTCCAGGTTGTCTTGGAAGCCCTATCTACAGTCACAATCGTCATCCCTCCTCCAGAGGGCGCTCAGAACCTTTTTGTATTTTTGTTTCATTACCACGTTCACCTGCCCCTTGTTCCCGTATATTATTTTAACCTCGTGCCTCTGAAGACTGGGGCTCTGCATTGATAGACAGACGCCCCAAGGCTCGCCTAGCATCGAGTCGCCCCACATCTGCGGCTTGAGGGCGCAGGCTTCAGAACGGCGTCCTGACCAGCTGAGTCCGGGGCTCGGAGCACCTGGCCTCGTTACCCTTCTTTTAAACTTTCTTGTTCCTGGTTCCATGTCGCCGTTCCTTGTTTTTATTCGTGTCTTGTCTTGGATGGATCTCCTGGTTTTAGATCATGGACTGTGCCCCGGTTTTCCTATTTGGACCATTTTGGACTCGTTTGCCTGCGCTCCTCCCTTGCACCTGGATCACTGTCAACACCGCCCCCCCTGTTCGCCCTCCCCTCCGTTCCTCACCGTGTTTTCCCTGTTGCCCTTCTCCAGTCTCTTCCGGGTTATACCGTCTGCACAGGGTCCTAAATACACACTACACGGGAGTCAGAACCGGCTTCCGTTACACCTCTCTACACTGTAAATGATCAAATGTGAAATGGTGAGATGATCTAGCAGCAAGAAAACAGATTTACGCTTGGGGAAAGGCAGCAAGTGTCTCCACCTTCAAAAGAGCTATCTTTCTTTGTGCCCTGTTTCTTGCAATTTGTCTTTGACTACTTGATAATTGTGTCTCTCAATGCTGATTCGGCTGTTGCTTTTCACACTTTGGCATCCCAGACTGCTGGAGACACACACTAAGCGCTTGCTTGAAGCTTTTTAATGATTTTTTACTACACATCTGCTTAACAGCTTGATATGCAAAATTGTTGAAAGACAAGAAAGGACACCATATGTTGTTACATATTAAAATATTTCCTTTGATCCTCTTGAAAATATAGTACCACATCTTCAGACGTTCGTGTTTCAATTACGGTATATACTGTACACTAAGTCATTTGTTTACGTTAAGGGAATATTATAAGAACCAATAAACACTATTTTCTTAATATGGATGGTGCCATATTGTCCATATCAGGACACAGGCAGGAGCTACAGTATATATTTCACATGAATTAGAAATAACAATACAAATAATAATCGTAGAAGGCAGCAATGCAGCCACATGTGACAGTGTTTCTCAGTTCAGAGCTGTAAAAAGAATCTGGTTTTCCATTTTGTCTCACACACTTGTTCTTTGAATCCTGGTAATCTTTTTGCTATGGCTAATACTGTAAATCATTTATGTGATAGAGGCCTCATTTCCAGAGCTGACTGTGAATTGAAACCTTTGCTCTCTCACAAAGTCTTCTATTAATGACAGAATGGTCTATGTACTGATTGAAGTTCACTCTGTGACATTTAGTAAAATTGGATATTTTTCAGCAGAAATTACTTCTGTTTATAGTCAAGAATGAACAGATAAATACTGCAGACCTCTGGGTTAGTTTCAATACCTTTCTGGCTCTCAGGAGTAATAAATATCCTTGTCGCATGTTTTTGTCTTTGTTTAGGCAGTACATTTATCAAAACTATCAATGAGGAATTCCAGTGTTTTCTTTCATAAAATATTTTTATTTCAAAAAAGCATTCTCTGTTTTGAAATTGGATCTGCATTGGATTTCTCATTTCATTAAACTGCTTGTTTTATCAGCAAGTAGCTGAGGTAACGCTGAATGAATAAATATGAACAAATATTCTCTTACACCTTGTCCTTGATGTTTTCAGAGCTACACCTAAAAAACACATCTAAATGGTGGAATGAAAAAACATTGACTGCCATTAATGTTAAATAAACAAAGAATGGGAGGTGGTCAGTGTGGAACTTAAGGGGATAACCCTTTTATATAGAAACATATCAGAACACCCTTATGGAAGCTATTTCTAACTGTCTGTGCTATTCAACATCACCTACAGTAGTTGCAGCATGGAGCTTTAATTCGTAATGTAAGAACATAAGCAAAGTTATAAATGACAAAGGGCCATTCAGGCCATGTAGTTTGTTTGTTTCGAAGCTAATTGATCCCAGGATCTTCTTCAGCCGTTTCTTGAACGAAACCAGGTAATTGGCTTCGACAGCATGACTGCGTATATTGTTCCACACTCCCACCACCCTTTGTGTAAGGAGTGAGATGCCCAGCCATGTAGTTAAAGCCAGTACCCTGGGATCTTTTCTAGAAGCTTCTGAAACATCCAGGTAGGTAGATCCTTTAAAAATAGGTTAAACTTGTTTTGTCTTGGTGAATGAGGAAAAAACAAGAGGAGCTGCAAGAAACAGAGTTCTTAATTATTTCAATTTGTAGTGCAGGATTCCAAAAATACAAAATCTAAACTCTAGCAAGGACAATTATATTATAGTAAATTAAATTGTGACATTTTCATCAAAGTGTCACGTGACCAGAGTCCTTAACCACCCAATAATAAATCTGTGGTGTAAAAGGACCTACTGGTAGCCACTTCAATTTAATTAGCAGTCAGTCTTACAGTCAGTCTCAGCAGTTACTCTTCACTATTCTGCTTGTCTTGGAGAAAGACTGAGGGAGCACTACGATAACCATGAGTCTTGGATTTCCTGATATTGAAGATTTCCTTCAAATGCTTAGAAATCTTCCTGGATCTTTCTCCAACTGTATGTCAATTTACAATTTACTGCCAAAGGTTTTCAGATAACTCTCCATTTGTCCCAGTATCAGCGTGCTGGTAAAGAAAGGAACCTGTTCAACCTTGTATTCTCTCTAAGACTGTTCACCTGCAATCCAGGCTTTTCCGGATATAGGCACCGCATCTTATTAAACGGACATTTCTAGCAGCTGATAGGAAACAAATTTGCTTTGATTGAGTAGTTTTGGAGTTTTATACCAAAAATTGACAGATAAATCACATAGAAACAATTATAAAAATCAATTTTTCCCATCACCTTCAAAGACAATGGTAAAATAGTTTTATATTTATAGTCCTATTTTGGTTTTAAGAAATTTAGGCACCCTATATGTACATTTCCATTACAGCATGTGAACGAGAATAGTACGTTTCTTCACATCCTTCTATAAATAGTATTTAAACATACTCCGGGACTGAGAGCTTCTGACCTGTCAAATAGTTGTTTAGGAAGACCCGAGACAGTTTCAGATTTGCCCACTCCCTCTCCTGTTTTTCAGGTCTCTTCATCTACCCGCTGGATGAATGCTCTACAGTGGTGGGCTTCGAAGCCATGATATCCAGTCGAATAGTCACGGTGCAAATTAAAGACAAAGCCAAAATTGATGACTGCTACTTCGACTGCTGTACAGTGGCCAATGGGACGTTCCAAAACGGCAGTGGTAATGTCTTAAAAGATTCATTTCTAGATTAGAGGGCACAGGTTCAAGACACAGTGACTGAAACTTTAATTCCCACAGATTATGAGAAGATTAACACTACACTGAAAATAGAAAAAATGAAAAATGTAACTCCTAGTTGTCTGCAGGAGGGGATATTAACCTTTATAACTGCAGAGCAGGAGAGGTGCTCATGGGAGTTTCCCCACTGAGCCCACAGTCAGTGTCCTGTGATTGTTGTTTTGTCTTCTGCTGTTTGCCCACTGCACAGCTGGGTTTCTGAAGCTTGGTACCCACTGTTTCAACAGGAATTGTAACGTTTTAAAGGTGATGATGCCACAAACTGTGACTTGGGTACAGGATGGAGAAATAATATTTAAAAAAAAGCTTTATATAAAAAGGCACACAAATGACTTTGTGTCCCTTGAATCTGAGTAAAGACTGGAGCTTTCACTGGAGTTCTATTACTTGATTTCGGAGACATGCCAAGAGTTGCCATGAGTTACTGTCAATAAGAAGATTTAATTTTACTTTCTAATCATGCACTTGAAGATCTCCCTTCCTATACAGAAATTAAATGTAAAGATATACACTGGCAAATGTAAAGTTTGCTATAAATATGGTACATGCTGAAAAGATCATGAAAAGCTGAAATATATTAATGGCAATACTTTATGAGCAGACACTACAATGACACTGACACATACACTATGACATATATACATATATACATACATTTCCCCACGGGATTAATGAAGTATGATCTATTTATATATAAGACATACTGTATATTCCATTAGTTCGTTTATACATGAATCACCCTAATCTCTAGTTTTCATTGATCTATGGCTTGATGAAGGTCACCTCAAGATCTCTCCTTGAACTGTCTTCTGCTAAAATAGTCGCAACCTTTTGAATTATAAAAACACTTTTTGCAAACTGCAAATATTTTACTGGCAAGAAAGGAGGTTGTCCCCCTCACATTTTGTCATGTCTTTGAGTGGGGGGGAGATGGATTCTCCACACAATTATTTCTCGGTGGGGTTTTTCTTAAATTTTCCTTGCTTTTACATTGTGTTCTGCTGTGTTCCGGTACTACCGGTTTCTAAATGAGCAGAGACTCTTTATCTGTACTTGAATGCAAAATACATGTACTGTCAAGAAACTGAACAACTGGATTTTATGTGCACATGTAGGTCATGTAGACTAGACTGTCTGGGTACAAACTGGACAAACTGTCCATCTTAAGTGTAGGGAAACTTGGACAAAGAGTTGTAGAAAAAATATTTAAAGAATGAGATTTTACTCTCGTGAGTTCGTTTCTGATACAAAAGTTACTTTTTTTCTTTTTTCTTTACTCTAGCTGTAGGGAACAAAAGTAAAAACATTGCACACAACAGAATCACCTTCTTATGCACAACCACTTCAAGACTCCAGATTTTTTTGAGTAGTTAAAACACAGGAAAGCAAAGGAATGTAACCATTCTCTAATGGTATCAGAACTTCCAAAAAGCCACAAAATGAAAAGAGGCCATACAGCCAATAATAATTCATGAGGAATGAAAGCAGTCTAAGACTGTGTGACGGCAGAACTGTTGATTGAATTAAGTGAAAACTTTTCCCTCTTGGCAGGTTAAGATAGAGAGGCCAGGACCCCAATGCTTAGAGAAAACATGACCAAGGGGATAGCTGTAAAGGTGGATATGGAGTGGAGGAGGGATGTGAAAATGAACGAGGAAGAGGAGAGGGTGACGTGTAGTATACGTTTTCACTGAGGCCATTACAACAGGATTAGTTGTGAGTTGCAGCTGCTGAGCTTATTTAGTTCGACTGCCTTCACCCCTCCTGAACTTAAGCTAGAACTAAATTTATCTTGTTTGATTTGTGCATACAGTAAGTCCTCTATTGCCTGTACTGGGATCAAACCACCATAGACAAAAAGCCCTTGAGCCCCCCTGGTCTGGGAGGTGGAAATTCAGGGAGCTCTTGGAGGACATCCATGCAAAAATGGAGAGAAGAATGGAGAGGAAATGGAGAGAAAAATGATGTCCACACAAACACCCCAAGCAGCAATCAAACCCAGGAGTGTGGGGCTGTGAGGCAGCAGTACTAACCATGCTCTATGTCTCCATGCAGCCTTTATAACAAGGGATTCTATGACTCAATCTGAAGGGCACTCTTGCTCATGTGCTTTCTTTCTCCACACTAGGACACATCATGCTGGATGAGGACTTGGAGCGGACAGTGTTAGTTGTTAACCTGGGTATCATTCCCCCATTGGAGACAGTGACAGTGCTTGTGAGCACGTCCTCGGAGCTGATGGCCCTCCCCAGTGGAGCGATCCGGGTGACCTCCCCCCCAGTCTGCACCCCGAAAGTGCAGAGATCCATTAACGAAGAGCACAGCCACTCTCAGAACCCGACCAGAAAGTAAGCATCTTTAATATGCAAGGCAGCATTCGACCTATTCTCCAATGGCAGGGACTTCGGGGAAATATGTCAAAAATCAGTTTTGCTAACATTATAATACAAACGTTCCTCAAAAATAAATACTCCCCATGTGAGCAATTACTGCTATATCTATTTTGTGCATTCTGTCACACGCTTAATAATTTTCTCCAATAGCAGTTTTGCATCACTACCAGGGTTTTTCATATCTGTTTTGGAATTGTTCTCTCTTACCATACACTCCCCTCTGCTCTTTCTCAGTTCCCTGCTTAAACAAAGCTTGATATTAGAATTTTCAATAAGTTGTAAGTTGCACTTAGATAGCACTTTAAATTTTAGACTGACCAAGCACAAACTTGGAGTTTAGTCAAAGCTTTGGGGTTAGCTCTCTTGCTTTTATGAACAGTGAGGCTTTTAGGAACAGAAAGGGAACCCTAACCCTAACCCTAACCCTAACCCTAATGACTTAGTAATCAGGACTCCAGTTTAAACTTTCATCAAAGCATGGCACTTCCTACATGACAACATCCCCTGATGCCATAATGGATCACTGGTTTGGAACTCCTGGTTCAGAGGGATGAGCATTATCTACTGGTGCAAAAGCACCTCTTACAGTATGCCAATTTTGCTTAGTTTCTGAGTGATCAGGCAACAAGGCAGCAATAGTACTGACAAAGACCACAGTCTACCCCCGAGTTTTTTAAACAGGTAAAGTCTAGGATGATTTTTGTTTTCTGATCGCAGAATTTTATCTTGAATCTCTTGAATATTTGACAATGCCCTTCCCCACGGAGCAGTATGGATAAACACATTTCTCATTTTGTACCACTGACACCTCTTGTGTCAGTGATGACCTAATGCTATTTCTTTTTCTTTCTTTCTCTTGTCCAGCAAGGATAGACATCATTGTGCCCTGGGTCCCCATGATCAGAGTACAGTAAACAGCCAGCTATGTCTTGCTTGGTTACTGGAAGAAGAGCCAATCAACTCCATTGATTATGAATTTAATTTTCAGCTGGAGATCAGAGGGCCCTGTCTCTTAGCAGGTCAGCAGAAAATGAAAAGTGTACCATTGCAAATTGAGCCTGATCCCATATCAGATTGTACAGACCCTGATGGTGTTTCAATCTAATGCCTCTTCCTTTGGAGAGCTGTTGTGTATTAATATATATTCCGTCTGGCTACCAGATGCCAAATTGCTTTCCTTCATTGCGATGCTGATGCTACATTTGTATTCCATAAATTTTATTTGGAGAATGAACACATTTGTCCGCTTTCTCATTCTTTAGCCTCCCTCAGCAATATAAAGTAGTCACTAATTTAGTAAGCTCACATAAAACCCACTGCTTGCCAAATAAACATGATTTGTATTTGGTATTATCTTTCTGGAAGACGAGCTGACACTAGTGGAATGAAAACCTGTTAGCTGAAGGAGTTCAACACTGTATCGCCGAATAGTCGGGTTACTCCAAATGCATTCTTGAATGAATGGATCCCCACATCAAGTGTGGCAAATGCAATACAATGTTAGGTACAACCACATTCATCATACTAGCAAGCCTCCACACACATTGTCTTTAGTCCTGCCCACCTACATGTAGGTCCTATCAGCATTCAGTAGAAACAGTCTACTACCCAGTGTATTATAACCTCAGATGTTCTCTGAGGCGCATTTTAACCCTGGATGATCAGATCCTTTTCCTACAGTTTATGGTCTAAAGTCATTATGATAATGTGCTGATTATTTTTTCCTGAAATTTCTTGCTCTGTAATCTCTGTAGTATAACTACAATCACACAGATGGATCAGATGGATGTGCATTAGGTTTTCTGGTTTCTCTGTGCTAATCTGCTGATTGTTGAAGCTGAACATGTAATTCTCCGGTCCCTTCTCTCATTACAGTCTGCCTTCAATCAGGCTGATAACAACTGACGCAAGGCATGGCTATATGTTTTCCCATTTTTGTGTAATTAATATAGTCTTTCTGAACCGCTTTTCATGCAGATTCTTAATCGGCTGCTTTCGCCAGTATGGATTCCAGTGAAATACCAGACATTGAGCATGTGGTATTTTTCTGAAACCATACAGTGAGAGGGTTTGGGAAGTAAAATAAAAATAAATAACATGACTTTCCAGCTGGCACAAAATGTAACAATTTACAATTTACAGCTTGTCCTCGATGGTGGTGGGTTGGCTAATATAAAAAATGAACATTTTAGAATTTTAAAATGTTCCCAGAGGGTTCAGTGTGCTTGCCACAGACAATCAGACATGTTTTTGTATGTGATTTATCCAAAATATAAATGATTTAAAAATATATAAACATAGGTCTTTAAAATAAATTAATTGGAGGATGTTTTGTTAAAATTATTGTACAAATAATTGCAGATGTTACAGAATCCTAAAATATCAGATGATCACTAGCATTGCATTGTAGCATTGTGCCAATGTTATATTTTGGTTTTGACAACTTATAAAGTATGTTTTGACAACATCGCTTGAAGTCTATAAATGTGTATCACCATAATGTTTCTCCGTTGCAACTATTTATGACATTGACACATCGAAACCAGTATATTATCCGGTTAGGAATTTTGTGAATAACCTAAGGCCCTAGTGGATCCCTAAAAGGCTAAAGGCTTAGTGAACATTCAGTATATTATCAGCTAAATACGGTGTATTAGTCAGTACAATCAGAAACATAGTAAATAGAATAATAGTAATTTTGTAACACAACTAAAAGTATACGAATACAGGGAAGAAGATAACTTGAAGTTGTCCTAAATAGAGAAAGAAGAAAGTGACCACTTCTTGGATGCAGGAGATTCCAGTGAGTAGTGGAATGAACAATAGTGATCTCTTCCTTGGTGCTCCTGTACTAGGTGTTCAAAAATATATGATTTCAGGATGTATGGGTGACTGTCATGGTGGCTGTAACCTTCCCTGGTGCGTTGATGATGATTCTGCCTGTGTGCAGGTGTAGAGAGTCCGACTCACGCGATCCGGGCAGACGCAGACCCCTCAGCTCATTCTGCCACCAACATCGTCGTCACCCTGGCTGACAAATACACCTACGATCGCCCTGTTGAAATTATCATCTACCCAAGTGGTAGGTTTCTTCACTCTCTTTAATAACTTGGCAGTGTTTATTCGTGAAATCTATGATGTCTATTAAAAGACAAGTATCGACATTTCTTGATATTTTGATGCCCTTCATTACTTATCTGAATTTGGATGGGAGTAATCCTGATTTCAACGCTATGGTACTTGTTTTTTTCCTTTTCTCTATATCTGACCTTAATGTACTTATCTGTTATCCCCCTAATTTTCTTTCTTTCCTGTCTTCATCATTCTCCTTTTTGTATTATATCGACATTCAAATCTGGGATTGTCTGGCAGTGGTAGACCGCAGCAGGTTTATAAACTGGTCATCGACTCATTCCCTGTAATTGGATAGGATGATACCTTCAGCATAGCAACCTACTGTATGACCATACACAAGCTGTGTAACATCGGGTGTCACATTGAACCTTCTTTTGATTACAGCCTTGAGATGGCTCAAAGCAGCCAGTGCCCAATCCTGTACTTTTCAGCTGCATAGTAATCTCACTTCATTGTGGCATACCTCACTACAGTCTGTGCAATTCCAAGCCCTGAGCAGCCTGACAAAAGTCCTACACAAAATAATGTTTAGATAGATAAGGTGAGATAGGAGCACTGGATATGTAAGAAATATCAACTTTGAAGAATTTCTCTGTGCTAGTTCATGTACAGTAAACTAGTAAAGATCTGATATATAACACAATTGTATTATTAACTATTAGTCATCTTGAATAAAGACAAAAAAAAAATGCATACATGATAATACATTGTGTGATTTCTGGAGATCTGTGCTCCAAATGAGGGAAATTGAACTTCAGTAAGGAAAATGAAGAATGCAAAGCAAATTATTGTGTCAGAGAATTAGAGAACAAAGCATTGACCAGTCAATTTTTTTTTCAAATCTCGCTGACTGATATTTTATTATTTTAAAGGGTAGAATATGTCAACTCAAATTACTGCAGCGCAAGGAAATATCAGTCTTAACATTTCCAACCTACTTTTAGAACAGAACGTCAACCTTTTGTTCAGTTCTTTGTGTGCTATCGTCAAGAAACCCAAACTCCCTGACTCCGCCCCGAATCCCTCTGGAACTTCCCTGATGTCTTGTCTTGCCAATGAGGTCTTGCAGCTTAGCATGGCGTCCCTGCCTATTTTTTGCTACAGCTAAGCAAGCTGTCTCTTTAAGGCAGACAGAATTTAATCCTCAGCTCCAGTATTGCCTTTCCTCAGGGCAGATCTGTTCTGCACATCACTGTAGATATAAACCACAGGTTCAGCAAAAGACCAATCAATATCTTGTAAAAGTTTCTCCTTCACAAATAGTTGAACCTTGGGTCAGTTCAATATGACTCATTTCTGAGGGTCAATGGTCCTGCTCCCACTGTGGTTATGATCACTGAGCAGTTCCATGCTTTGTCAGAGAGCTCTGCTGCACTATTATATGTGTGTAATACTTCTGATTCAATAAGTCGAATGCAAAGATATAGTGTACAAAAAGGGGCATATAGAATGATAAAAATTATATGATGATTCTTATTTGTATAGAAAACTTAAGTGAAAACATCAGCCCGTATTCTATATCAGTAGCATCTGCTCAGAAGTAATTAAATGGCATAATGTCAATACTCCTTGAATGCTTGTGGATTGATTGAATGAAAGTTCTCCTCAGTTAAAAAAAAGGTTAAAACTTACAGGAAAAATACTGTGGGATGGTAATTACACCTTCTTCTTTCCAACCGGGTTCCTCTAGTGAGGTGAAATTGAAATTGAACTGAGACGAAAGCTAAAGAAACTTGACATATAACACATTGAAAATAGAAGAGGTGTTTGCCAAGGATTCTACCTAGTTTAATCTGGCAGAAAAAAAATAAAAGGCAGGAAATGCCTATGGTACTGAATTTCTGAACTTAATGTGGTTTAATTAAATTAGCCAACTGAACAGTAGGACATTCCACATTGCTTAACAAAAGATTTAGAAATTATACTTGAATTTACCCCCTGAAACAAGTTCCTTGATTTGTGTCATTTCACAGCTTGATGTTGCATTTCATGACAGATAGCGAAATGCAAAGAGAGAATACCAAAATACAGACAATGCTGAAGTAATGCCACAGCTGACAATGCAGGAGAAACTCTTTCAGAAATAAAACATCTGTGTTTCATCTTTTTTAGGGTTTAAGCAAAGGAATTTAGAGGTGGCCATTAAGAGATTTACAACAGTCTAATTAATCGTGCCTAAATCACAGGATTTGCGCACACACTGTGTCTTCTGTTTTTTTTTAGTTCCAGCTGAACTCTTAATTACTGAATCTATTGAAGTACTGATTGAATTGTCTGTGCTACAAATTAGCATTAACCCTCTTCCATTTGCTGGGTTTCAGAATTCCTTAACTTACTGTAGGTGCGGTATATTGTTTCAATGACCAGTAAACTGGACTCTCAACAGTTGCATAATGCAAAGCTTAAGTTTTTGTGGCGGAGTAGTATGTCATGTAATGTGTATATGTACTGTATGTTACTAAAGTAAGAGTTTAAAGAGCACAAAACATTAAGAAGTTTGAACAAGTGAACACACTTGCACACTTGTGAGCCACACTGAACAAGTTACAAAAGTCCTTTTCTGATGCCTAGGGATGAGGGTACTAAGCAGTTAAACAGCTGCAATGAAAACAGGAGACACAGGAATCCGGACAGCCAGGGCCTAGAAACTCTGATCTCATTTGCCTGGATTTTCAGAGCCTCATATGCCTCACGTCCTCATAGAAGATGGGGATATGACACCAGAGGAGTATGATGAGCACCTGAAGGGGAGGAGTGACTTCATCAAGGGTGTGAAGAAGGACCCGAGCTGTGAAAAGAAAGTGAGTTTGTTTACGCTGTTTGTGTCCTGAAAGTCAGAGGCAGGTTTAAGCAGTAAGGCTTCAGTTCAGGTCTGGATGGGACCTGCAATTGAGAGATCTGTGGTTCACACCTAGCCTACCAGGATAGGATACTCCTGAGGCACACATCTTTTCTCCAAACAACAGTCACAGATATTGAGCTTTCTTCATGCACCCTCCCCAGACATTCCAACTTCCCTAGATACACCAAAGAGAATAGAACTTTAGGAGTTCAGCCGAATCCTAATCAATGTGCCCTAGAGCGAAAATTTATTGAAAGTGTGAGAAGTAGTAAAAGTTTTTTTGGATTTAACTCACATAATACCCTCGCCTTCAAGAGGAATGAGCCAGGGAGCTGCTTCAATGGTGAAGAAGTGGTGCTCAACAGGAGAGAGGTTAATTTGTAGGAATTTGACCTCCTTCCAGACTTCTGGTTAAAGACATGCCATACAGTATCTTGTCATACCCTCCCCCTGCATTTCTCCAGGAAATGTCATCCAGCTCTGCAGTGAAATAGATTTTTTTCAGCTTCATGAACCAAACTGTTCCATCAGGCAATTAACTAGGGACGACCAGACCGATGCAAGATGTTCTGGAGTCATCAATTAATAATGAGCACAAATTAAAAAGAAATATTGTAAACTACAGAAGGAGACAAACAAAAGAGTGACGGGTCTCTCTGCGACTTCGTTTCCTGCATTTAAACAAATCCAAAAGGAACTGATGAATTCAGTTAAAAAATTATTTTATTACATTTTGGAATAGACACTTCAAGTGCCTTATCAGCCAGCTCTGTCAGATTTTTGACGTGATTACCAAAGGGAGAAAGATTAGCACATACAGTAGGATGAATTATTTCCTATCTCTCACAATGTTTCGTTTTGTCTTATGTGACTTCACTGTTCACTGTTGTCACAGGCGAAAAAAAAATCACTGAAATAATCCATGACACTTTTACATGGAATAAAAAACTGTTGTAGCAGGAGGTTGATGGCAGTTATTAATGCTCTGGACCAAGAAGGAAATACAACATAGTACAGAGAAAGCTACAGAAAGCCACACTGGTGGTGGTGGAGGGGAGTCCCCATTACCTGTAAAGCGCTTTGAGTGGAGTGTCCAGAAAAGCACTATATAAGTGTAAGCAATTAATTAATGACAGTACTGTGTATGTGTGAAAAAGGAACAACTTTTGTTAAAATGGAATTCACGAGGAAGGACAATGCCCAAGATCAAATCGTAATGAACTGTAGTGGAGCGAATATTTGGCTTAACCCGCTTGGCTGAGGGCCGACCTCCTGGCCACAGGACGAGGCCAGGTAACCAAGGGGCAGCTGCAGAGGTGGAGTTGGGGTGGAGGTGGGATGCAAAAGTCGGGCGCGAGGAAGAGGGATATCGCGTTTGGTATTTGTAGCGTTTGTTGGAGGAAGGATGAAGGGAGTGATTGCTAATTACTGGTGGCTGGGAATGATTGAAAGTGGTTGTTGTCATCCCTCCCGAACTTTCATTAAATAAACTCCATTAAAAATCTGTAATAAAAATTAATATATTCCATGAAATGAAATACATATGCACCTAGAAATGCTTTAAAGTGCATTAAAGTTCCTGTGTAACACCCTGTTATAATATAATTTCCCACTGTCTTCTTCCGTTTGAGCACTAAAGTCTTATTAACCAATTTTCAAACCACACATGACTATTTGCTTGAATGCCCCCTTCCTGTAATTTGGGACTATACAGTATCTTTTATAGATAATTTTTAAAATAATTTTACTTGGAAAATGTAGCACAAGAGGGTGGCTACATGATGTATTGCTGCCTCTGGGGCCCTGGGCTGTATTCTGGACTTGTGGTGCCATCTGTGGACAGCCTGTAGGATAGTTTGAAGGTGGATAGCTTGGAGCTGGTATATTCTCCCCATGTTCATGTGTATTTGCTCTGGGTGCCCCAGTTTCCTCACACAGGCTAAAGATATACTGGTAGGTTAAATTGGCTTCTGTGAAAATTGCCACTAAGCATAAGTAGTTGGTGTCAGTGTCTCTGAGTATTTTCCAATGCACTGGTGTCCATTCCAGGGTGTACTCTGCCTTGAGCCTGTTGTTTGACAACATAGAGCATCCATCACAACCCGGAATGGGAAGAAGCTGTTAGAAAATGGATTGTTGAACATACTACATTATTGTAACTTGGCAAAGCATTTGTAGCTTGATTTGAAAATTCTCTTGCCGACATATACAGTAGTGCTCTCAATGGTGTGGTTTGAAACCATTTAATAACTAGCTTTGCACAGGTGAAACACTAGTTTGGCATAAAAGGCAAGATACAGCCACAATAAATTCACGTCTCAGTAAATTCAGCAGGTCTTTGTAGTCTGAAACTTTGAACTTTGAAAGTATAGAAATCTTTGGTTTCTTAAGCCATTCCTTAGATTTCTTTATTTTACACAGACAGCACAGGCTTTATTTAGAGGGGGTTTTCTCACCTCTCTCTGGGAACAAAATAAAACAAATTACATGGTAGACTGCCTGTATAACTGATCTCTTTCTGAAGACTTAATATCCCTCTATCAACCATAAAAGAGTATCTATAGCAACTGTATAGAGCCCTGCAAAACAAGGCAGATATACATAAAATTACAGAACCGAGTTTGCTGCCTTCATCTGGTTTCCCTGGTTATCTGTAGATTGCTGTGGCAGGGCAGGGCTACAGTCTGGGCCGCCTGATCAAATTCATGTTAAAAATCATATCAATAGATGAAGTGTGAAGAAATTGTTTCAGATAGTCTATTTAACGATTTAAAAAATAGAGGTATACTCAGTTTGTTATTTTGCAGATTTCAAAGTAAGCATGAAATAAGGTATTTCCTGATAAAGTCATACTTAAGATAACTGTTATATAGATAATATATATATAACAGTTCTATATTAAAACATTATCATTATAATTATTATATAATATGATTGTTATGTAATTAAATAACATAAAAACACAAGACTCATTACAGGCTGGAGGAAACTCAGTTCAGCTAGCTCATCTGGCTAGTAACTGATTGATGATTAAGTATCTCTGCAGACAGCTTCTTGAATGAAGGCAGTGTATCAGCTTTGACAAGATGACCAGGTATCTTGTTCCAGACTCCCACAACCCTTTGTGTAGAAGCACTTCCCCATGTTTTTCACACCAGTCCTCTGGTTTGTGTTTTAATTTTCTTTAAGAAGAAGAAGTCCACTTTGCTAGCTTTGATATTGCATTTGAGGATTTTGGATACTTAAAATAAATTAGGTCTCCTTGTAGGCTTCTCTTTTCAAGATGAAAAATGCCTTTGGGCATTCAGTAAGTGTATAACATGCTGTTACCCCAAATCATCATAGGATTCCAGAGAACTTATATGTCTATTGGCGACCAATATTGCACTCAGCATTTTAGCCCTACCCACTGCCTCCCTGTCTGTAATAAAATATTGCACAATACTATAAGAAAAGCCTATGCAAGAGGTTAATGGCAAGTACAAAACTGATTTATTTTACTTTAAGAATTGTTTTATTTAGTTTAGATTCCTAATCTAATAATCGTGGATTTTGAACAGTAATCATGCAGTTTAAAACTAACAGATCAACATGTATTGTTCATATCACTTCCCCTCTCGTGGACAATATGAACATCCCAAAGTAACCACTGAGAGCAGCCGATTTATCTTAGCAGACCAGCTCAATTGATCCCTAGTAGTCTTTCAAGCTTAAGGAATATGACCTTGTCTAGCCCATTGACCTACTCTATATATAATACAAATGTATTTCTTCTTAGACATGCCAGTATGACCAGTCAATTTCAAGGTTAAGAGTTTTCTAATATATGGACTACATTACCAGGATGCATCCTGGAGATGGGGAAACTGGGAATTTTCTGGGATACACTTAATCCTGTGATAGGTTCACTCACTATGCAAGAAAATAATGAGAACTAATGGGCTAATGGCCTGTTCTCATCATCGCCAGTTTTTATAAATAGGTGTGCCATTAACACAGAGGCATGGTATCCTAACATGAACAGAGACAATCAGCTGTTTTGAGCTCATAGCTGGGGAGGGGTTTAAATGTAGGAAATGCTTAGGAACAATCCAGTGATTTACAAATATGATTGGACTAGAATTGAGAAAAGTATCCTTGCTAGTGTAAAAGGCATACAATTCAAAACAAAAGGATTTCGTTTAAACATATAAAAAAATCCTTTTAGAGTAAACAGCTAAAATGGCAATGGTTGTTCACCTCCAGACACAAACTGTCATTCCACCTGCTTGCTGTTACACCACACTCTACAAAGCAGGGAGCAGAGCACAGCTGCAGGCTGGAGGTCCTGACAGGACTGCAGTCTCATACAGTAGCTGTGTCAGTGTCCTACAGGGCTCCCAGACATCTCTGTTGAAAAACAAAAGAAGGGATCTCTGACTGAATTGAAGCCTACCCAATACCAGAGGATAAGTCAGCTGTCATCAAACCCTGAGAGACCCTGGTCACTAGTTTATGACTTGTTCTAGATCTGAACCAGCTCTTTTAGGAATAAATACGTCCAACAAGTGGTCTGTGAGGAATTCTTTACCAGTTAAGTCATCGGGGACCCAAACTACTGTACATTATTTACCGTTTACCCTTTATTGAATTATTGAAAATTTACATTTTACTTGTCTTTTTAAAAATGAATGAGATAATTAAAACGTGCAAGACTTTGCTTTACTTTTATTGCACATAGGACGGGGTTCTGTCTGACCCATTAGGTCAGATTAAAGATAAATGTCTGATAGGCTGCGATTCATCCACTGTACACAGATTCTGCTTCTTGAAAAGGTGAGTTCTGCTTGTTGCCTTTAAAAAATATTCACATGGGTATCTTATTGTGCCTACCCTTTTAATACTCCAGGAATCTAGGGGGGCTTTTCCTCCTGGAATGGATGTATCCTTGAATATCTTGTGAAGTATGGACAGGCCTGGTTCAGGTGTTATATTGAAGCTAATTTGGCTATTATTAAACTATTTAAGTTAGCGAACCTTTATTTTCTTAATCAGTTCTTAAATCTCCAGTTGTGATCACACTGATCATCCATCATAGAGATAGAAGCAGCCTTAGTATTGGTTTAAAGCAAAATTCACTATAAGTAAACTCTACCAAGTTGTCCTCAGCTTGTGAAAATGGTTGGCTCTTACTGATGTCTGAACATTACTTAATGTGTTAGTAATTTATCATTTACTGACAATGTAGGGTGAATGGAAGATGTCTTCAACCTGGGTATTTGCACATGCTTAAATTCCAGCTAGCTCACCATTGAAAATGAATTGAATTTTGAATCCCACCACCCACTACATGCTTAAAAACAAAATCTTAAAAATCTGTCTTGTTGACTACTGCTGTGTTTGCAAATTTCAGGTTGAGATTATCCGAAAACGTCTCCACAAGGATATTCTCCATAACCCTGTCGTCATGCTCAACTTCTGCCCAGACTTGAAGGCCGTGCCTTCAGACCTGAAGAGGGTTCAGGGAGAATTTATTTTTCTCATCGACCGCAGTGGAAGCATGAGTGGGGTGAACATCAGTAGAGTGAAGGTAATGTTCATTTATTTTGTTACGCTCTTGTTCTCCGGAACTTTGCTCTGTGGTGGTTCGGGAACTGGGACCAGATTGTCTCAACACCAGCACATGTGAGGCTATGGATATCAACTAATGTCAAAATAAAAAGTAGTGGTTCAACATATTTCACCACGATGTGCTTTTCTACAGACTGGCAATTCTGAATAATGATGCCACTGATCAATTGGTAATTGTCTCAGTTACAGAGCTCTCAGACATCTGATGACTGTAATTGGGATTAAACATCCTACATAATATCCAATTGTAGTAGTAGCTGTATGTTGTTGTTTCCACTATACAGAAGTAATCCTTTAGGATTTTTCCTGCAGACTTGTTACATACAGTATGGCTGACTTGGCTTGTGTTGTCAGTAGGTTGTGTTGCTGGATTGTGCTGGTGGTTGGTGACTAGTCACTCACATTGAGTGACTTCATGTTGTAATGTACCAGGTTGTAGCAAATCTTGGTCAACTTAGTCAACTACAGTAAGGGCAAATTTTCTATCATTGCATTAGTGCAAAAGTTTACACATTGTGTGGGTTGTGAGATGACTGAAGGGCTATGGTCTTAATAGTAAAAGTTTAAAACTGGTCTTGCTAGTAGTCAGTGCTGTCAAATGATAAAGGTAGATGTCTTTACTGTGGAATGTCGTGCAGCCAGTTAGATACATTCTTTTCTTACTTTTAAAAGTACAAAAGCACATTACCCAATTATCTTGTTCATCATCTTTCTTTCATTGTGCCAATCAAAAAATAAGCAGCTTGCCATTTGCTTTTACTTGAAGCAAATGAGGGCAGTTTAAAAGGGATAAAAGCCTTTATCTAGCAAGTAAAGGATGTTTTGCCTTGAAGTGTTAACTCTTTTGAAGGAGGGTGGTCAATATTTTTTGGCTCCGTTTCAGCAGTAAAGGAGTTAAACCCCAAAATACAGAGCTGTCTCTTTGTTCCCTCCTGCATGATCATTTGAGCTACAGCTTTCTTAGTTGATAAGAACTGAAGTCTTGGCAGGGCTCTTTGAAAAAAGAATTCCACGCCACATCTTTGAGTAATGACAGCTAGTCCCCTGTGTCAGATAAAAGCACTGAAAACTACAGTTCCATATTGGAAGAAAGCTCTGACAGATTTTAAAATGCTCCTACCTGGCTTTGAGATTGGTGATGGCTGACTGGCCCTATTTTGTGACTCACAGCTGGGCAGCAACTCAAACAAATTTTCAAAAGAATCTAATCTTCGAGTGAAGGTCACTGAAGTAACTAGTCATTTTAAAGGCTAAGGGGAACATAATAATATGATTATTTTCTTCTTCTTTAACCTCAAAACGAAGCTCCAAAGTAATGTAGTCACCAGCATGCCTTTTAATATAATGAAAAAAATATGCAGCTTTAGTTGCAGTTTTAAAATCCTAGATTGCTGGAAGTAACAAAACAAGAAAGTCATGCTTAACACATCCATAAGAGTTTCCTGGGACATGATTTCCCTGTGACCCTGTACTGGGTGGATGTCCATAAGGATTGGACTTTTAGTTTTTAGCTCAGTTCTCCTATCTTAATTCTCCTATCTGAATTTGGCCTATTCGCTGTTACCATTGGAGCTGTGTGCTAAGCACATATGAGGTTTGTAGTAATTGGAAGAAAGTAATTTTAACTTGTGGATAGGACGTGCAGTGGCACTGCCTTGGGAACAGCACAGCCCAAAAAAAACAGGCATAATTTATTACTGCTTTTGATCTTTAGGAGCTTTGAGCTGTCCTGCTGCTTTTCGGGGTGTGATTCCTGTCACTGGGAGCGCTTTCCAATCTTTCGCAGGCCTATCCATGATAAATCGTTTACTGACTCATGATTAAAGGAGTAGTTTTTTTTTTATGGTGCACTGTACCAGGAGAGATACCCCTCTGTAATAGTGTCAATTTCTCTTGTAGGCTTCCTTAGAGAATATTGCATTCTCATACTGGAAAGTTCTTCCTGTAATTTGTCGAGCTGTGCCCTTTTGGTTTGTGGGTTTTTCAAATACTGTATAGTAATGAAAGACATTGTGGGTTGCTGGATACTAGCAAGGTGGCACAGTGGTACTGTTGCTGAATTCTGGGGTCCTGGGTTGAATTCCAGTCCTGGGATGCTATCTGTGTGGAGTTTTTATGTTCTTTGTGCGTTTATGTGGGTTTCCTCTGGATGCTCCAGTTTCCTCCCACAGTCCAAAAATATACTAGTAGATTAACTGGTTTCCAGGCAATTTTGACCTGATGTGAGTGTGTTTCTACCTGTCTGCCCTGCAATGTACTGGTTTTCCGTCCAAACTCCTGACTGAGGGTGTTTTGCCTGCTGAGGCTCAGTTCCCCTGCAACTCTGAGTTGGAAGAAGTGGTTAGAAATGGATGGATGGTAACTGGAAAGTTCAGTTGGGATGATATCGATTGAACTGGGAGTCAATTCAATTTGGATGTGATAGTCAGCTGTCATGTACTGGGTGATTGAAGTGAATACAGGAATGATGTGGTGTTTGAAGAACAGAGCAATGCATAGGGTCACTAAAAAATGGGGTAGAGAAACAATGTTATTATTCTGACAATAATTCTTTCCTTGTAGTTTGGATAAAGGATGGGCTATAATGGAGGTGGACTGTTAGGTTGTGTATACTGTATGTCTTTTTTTGTGATTTTTGCTGTTATGGGTGTAATCATAGTGTCACAAGAACAGCAACAAAACAGCAAAAAGATTTAAATGTAAAAAGAAAATTGCAAATGACTACTCATGGCAGGAGTTTTTGATAGCTCCTGAGAATGTCAAACTCATTATATTGCCCTGTAATTATTCATTGTCCAGTTATGGTAATAAGTATAATTTCCTTGCACAGTACTCTACAATTTGTATAAGGGGGTGGTTTAAATTTCCTAATAGCATGTTTGCATAAATGACCAGTCTGGCAGTTCAGCTGTCCTTGGCCATTATTAGCTTTCATTGTTGAATATTGGAACATATACTGTAAGTGCTGCATTGGCAGAGAGTTTTATACTGACCTTTTCTGCCAATTTGGATTTATGTTTTCAAATCACAGTAGTTTTATATACAGTATGTTGACTGACACAGAAAACCTCCTGCTTGCTGTCATGACAGCTTCCTGTCTCATGCCAACCAGGTCAGGTGACTGAGAGCAGCAGCTCATTCCCCACAGCATTTTGGGAAATGTGGTTCAGAAAAGGACCTCCATCTTGTCTGGAACTATTGCCCTCTCACAAGTACTGCATCTTCTTCTGCCACATATCTGCATTTCTCATCTTCTTGGTTTCTGGATGCAGGGTGGAACAAAATTTGAGGCTCCTGTTTTTGAAGGACTTCAAACGGGAACACCTTTTTATACCGATTGTCTTCTGTCTCCTGAGAACCTCCAAATTTACAAAATTTGACAAATTTAATGGTTCTAAAGCATCATCTGAGCTCCAGTGGTACTGAGATGCTGTTTTTCTGATGCAGACAGGCAGCAGTCAGCTTGAATTCATATTTTAGAATATTAATCAGACTTAACTAAACTAAGAATTTATCTTTTAGTTTTTTAATATAAAGAGTTTTAATTCAAAAGCTGGTCAAGGTTTTCCAAACCTGAGGAACCAGAATTGTCCCATATCTGATTCACCCCTGTAAAATATTAATTGTAAAATAATGATTTCTTTCAAGAAACCAAATATTTGGCCATACCCACTACAGCAAGGATCTCTGTAAATTACAGTACCTCATGTTCTCCATGATCTTGTAGTAGGCTCATCTAAGTGAATACAAATGAGTCTCCTGGTTCTTAGGCATCAGCCATTGATAGCAAGGTAGTTGTTACAAGCTACATAAATCTTTTGCTTGGGAGAACCTTATGGCTGTTCTAGTAGTGGTGTTCTTTCAACATGCTGTTTGAGCCCTGTAGCTTAGAGATGACTAATTTGAGCCTGTGCTATGTTATTAGCCAGTTATGACATAGATTCCACAAATATCAGCTAACAACAGGCTTGTGTGGCTTGAGTTTATGTTAAGCAGGGTATTCGTGGCTTGATATGCAACAGTGACTCCTGTGGATTACAGAGTGCTTGTGAGCTTGCACTGCTAAGTTGCGTCTGTCCTTCATTCGATGCTATGTTGCTAGGCTGGGCTGCAGGAACTGTGCAGTTTGCAGTTTGAAAAAAGATAGGTGTCCAGCAACTGCTAATACAGAGGATGGCTGAAAGTGGCCTTCCTCCCTGCCAAAGCTGTACATGGGTTGTTGAGGCAATCTGAGCTACTTAATCATTGCCAATTCCAAAATGGATTTATAGAGAAGTAACTGGGAATTCAATTTTAAAGGGGGTAAAAGGTAGTCTAAATATTTTTAAAAAGAAAAAAATACTTGTCATAACTAATGTTGAATTGGTGATGCTGTAATACATTTCTCTAACATTTCTCCTGTGTAACTCTCTCTCAGGATGCCATGCTGGTCATTCTTAAAAGTCTGGTCCCTGCCTGTCTTTTCAACATCATAGGCTTCGGCTCCACTTTCAAGACACTGTTCCCAGCGAGTCAGACCTACAGTGAAGTATGACACTACATTTCTCCGAGAACAGCCCAGCCTTTTCCTCACCATGTACAACAGTGCACCTAACATTCTGGCTTTTCCAGAGGTTTACTGTGACTTCCTAAAGGAATGGGACCACAAAGTATTGCACTGTTGGATAACAGCAAGATTGAGGTTTTAATTTAACATCATGGGCCCCCAGTCCTCAGAAGAACCCTTGTTCCGTGACCACAATATAATGAGATAATTGGTTGGGCTGTTTTCCTATGGACTCCCTATGGAGGGGTTGGGTTCTTTTTTTCCAACTGAGCCATCAATGACATAATTAAACTCTTAATGAAACTCATGCTCTGTTCAATAAACCTTTTGAATTGAATTCGGCTTTTAAGAACGCATCTGTAGTTTATCTATAAAGGTTAAAATCTCATACTCTTTGGTATGCATTCAATGTTTAAACCCTGCATTTAGGTACTGTACATCACAAGCAAAAGGTCTGGGAAAGTACTGTATAATGAACAATAAATATAGGACTGATTTAAAACTATTTGCACCTTTTATTTTTTACAGTACTTCCAAGGTCACACACAAATGCACAGAAAACACTGCAGATTGCCTTTAATGATAGGACACAGATACCAAATGGATGTATATGCATTGACCCCACGCATCTCTGTGCTCATCAGGACACCCTTGCCATAGCCTGCGATTACATCAAGAAAATCCGCGCAGACATGGGCGGCACCAACATCTTGTCTCCTCTAAGCTGGATCCTCCATCAGCCTCTGTACCGGGGGCACCCTCGTCTTCTCTTCCTGCTCACAGACGGGGCTGTCAGCAACACGGGGACAGTCATCGAGCTTGTTCGCAGCCACTCCCTCATCACCAGGTAAACCAGGGGCCGCTGAGGTATCATCTACGGATGAGTCGCTCTACTTGTGTGGCTTGGTACAGTGTGTGGTGTTAGGGGTGGGTCTTATTCGTTTAGGAAGTATGAGTTTGTGCAGTTTAAACACGAGGAACGACGCATATCAGTAGTCAAGTACCCACGCAACCTGTTAACATTTTGAGCCAAATATTCTTTTTATTTCACTTATGCCTGCCACTAGACTGCTAATGCAGATGATGTTGTCCCTTTCGGCATCATCTGACTGAACTTTGGCGCACACTTGAGCGATTCGCTGCCAAGTGTGAAGCAGCTGGGATGAGAATCAACACCTCCAAGACTGAGGTCAAGGTTCTCTCCCAGAAAAGAGTAGATTGCTCTCCGTAAATCCACTGTAAATCGAGATTCGGAATCGTTGTCGAGGGGAATCGAAATCCAGGAACCAGAAACACACAATTGAGAGATCAGGAGAATTGCTGCGAAGGCAAGACGTGAAGCTCAACAGGGAAACCCAATACTGAGCATTGAAGCAGCTGTGTGCTGCTGTTAAACAGTCTGGAGCTGGAAGGTGTGGTAGTTATTGGGAGGGCTGACTGGATAATTAATTCTGAAGTCTATGCCTTCTGGAATTGGTGGCTTGTGTGTGATTGCGGGTGGTTGTGACAATTTACTGTACAGCTCCACAAGGCCCAGTCATGAGCAGCATTTGGTGGAGTGACTTAATTCTCTCTGGCATCACTAAAGGCTCATAGATTGGACATCACATAGATCACATATTTGGTGACTTCATCAGCCAGGTGATGACCTTACAGTGATTACAGTTATGTTAAACTTATGGAAAAATACATTACTTTTAAAAACAGAAGATGGGAGTCTCATCAGCCTCAGGTAGAGATTCCCACAGTTTAATACGTAGGGCTTTGTAAGTCAGGAGACAACTTTTAATGCCGATCCTGAACTTTACAGGAAGACGATGGGATGAGGCTGAAACAGAAGTGATGAGTTTGTAGGAATATTTTGGGCATACTGGATGTACCTGCAAGCAATGTGTTAAAATATCGCTCCAATCTAGAAAAAACAAACGTATAATACAGTTTCACAGTATCTGATTAGGACAAGATTGGTTGTACATGTGCAATATTACATAGTTGACTTAAGGACACCCATTCATTTTTCTGATGTAAGTGTCAAATGTTAAACTGAGGTTGAAAAGAGATTTTTAATCTGGGTAGCTGATCACAGATGGCTGGACTGATGTTATTTATAGTAGACAAGTCTGTGTTTAGGCCCCAACAGCATCTTCTTTGTCTTGCTACTATTCTGTTGCAACATTATTTTAATATCTGGTAAACAGCTTGTAAGAATAGAGACTATTAGACTAGTGTCATCTTTAGAGTGCAAATAGTTCTGAGCGTTATCAAATAACAGGGGAAATGTACACCATGATGATGGATTACGTGGCGAAGAGGTATAGAAAATAAAAATAATCTTAAATTGAATGAGACTGACTGGGCTGATTATTTTCCAAGAATGGCTTAAAAAAGGAACTGCACAACATGTTTTTACACATTAAACTGCTGTGACAGAGTCACATTACAAAAGAGAACGTTTTCTGATCAGACTAAAGCCAGCAATTATTTACAATAGGCTTACAAGTGGTTCTTCTTGGCAATAAATATACAGCTCCAATATTGAAATGCGGCTTTGAATTGTTCAAAATACTGTGTCATGTTAGAGCAGTTGTTGCAGTATTAGTAGGTTTCACCCTGTTTAGTTTACCTGGCAGTCAGTTTTAGCTGATGTCAATGATTATATTCAGGAAGATTAAACATGAACAAATCAGTAATTATTTCATAATAGGAAACAATTATAACACGGAAGATCACAATGAGTTAAACAAGGTTAAAAACGTATAAAATTGTTAAAGGAAGAGAGGAAGCCATTTGGCCTGTTTAACTAATGCTGTTTTTACGAGCTCCAGGGATGTCATCCTGACATTTTCAGAAAGAAGCCAGAATATTAGCTTGAACACCATGGCTGGATGCCTTGTTTCAGAATCCCACGACACTTGAGTAAAGAAGTGCCTTCTCTTCCTACTTTCCTGAGGATATAAAAAATAATTTGAGAGGCCTCAGTAGTTTTATGCCTTTCTTGAAATCACTGCTCATTATTCATGTCATATTTGAATCCTTAAAACCTGTCTGTACCTCATACATCCATACAGAATAATGAGACAGCAACTGAGTGAAGCATCATTTCTGTGCAAAAAACACCTCTGTCATTTTGTTAAATAAAGCCCCTGGTTATTCAACTGCTTAACTCCGTTATGTTAACCCTATTCCCCCCTTTTTAACTGTTGTCTGTAAACCAATTAAAGCAACAGAGCAGTAAAAAGCTTTGAGCAGCTTGCAGTTAGTAAGATTCAAGAAGCCACAGAGCAGTTCAGCAAAGGTTTGAAACGAATTTTAATTTGTTAAAAAATGCCATTTTCTAGAGAACACCCAAGAAGTGTGTATCTTCCTTGTGGTTTCCCATTTTTAGGAATTTTTTATAGACTGCGTACAGCTTCAGCCACTTTCTGGTGTTACCTACTGTATACACACGGCACAATGGCTGTTTTTGACAAAGCTATCCTCACCTTTCAGTTATTCTCAAAATGTTACATACAATGGGTGTCTGCAAAGAGAAAACCTATAAAGAACCCGGATGAGGTTAGGTTCTACACCAGAGAGCAAGCTCCTAGATTATCATGGTCTAAAAACAAATGTTTAATTTTATTTTTGTAAATCTGATCAGTTTAAACTTGTCTCTTTATACCTCTTTTGAATGTGTTTTGAAACTGAACAAAACAAACCTACAGTAATTCCCCAAAAAATCAAGGAAGAGACATGGTCTACAACAAAAATGTGTGAGTAGTAGGATGAGAGAAAGAGGATAGCTCTTATCCATGTTACCTTTACGCAATTATGTGAAGCAGAAATTACAGTAAGAACATGTAATGGATGACCTAAAATAAGTCATATCATCCAACAATGCTGAAACTTAAATTAAAAAGAGCAGAGAAAAAAACCCAGTGCCTAACAACAAAGCAATGTGTGCAATTCACATGTTAGAGATTGCTCTTCTGGAACCCAGAGATGAATTTAACGTTTTTTAAACAGTTGAATAAAACATCAAGTTTAGCACTTTCAACGAGTAAAAGGACAGTGAAATAATATACATATTAGAGAACAATATAATAAATCTACTTGAAATAATCAACAGCAGTGATGTTCTGGCACGCCGAGATGATCTAGTTTTCTGGCTGCGTGAAGGATGAGCTGTCAATCGGTATAGAGATTAATTTACAAGGTCTCTCCTTCTGTGTCCTGGAGTCATCAAAAATCCTATGTGCCCTAGTGAATTCGACTGTTGTGTGGTAGCCACCAAACCATCAAGGAAGCAAATGTACTGTACACATTTTGGTACAATTAATTGTCAGAAATGAAAGGAATCATCACCTGCGCTAATCTCCATCCTATTATTTGGTCTGGAATCATGGTTTAATCTCCTTATCTAACTGTCTGGAGGAATGACCAGGACCGGTTTATTCAATCTCAAGGAACAGGTTCCAAACCCTTCCAGAATGACCAGGACCGGTTTATTCAATCTCAAGGAACAGGTTCCAAACCCTTTTTATTTTCTTTTTTCCCCCATTTACCTTTGGGGTTTTGTTTTTATAAATTGCAAAATATAGCAATGTATATGAATATGTATTTATAGCAATGTATATAGCAATGTTTTCCTCGTCCGTGGATGAGAGGAGCTGCAACCCTCTCCTTCAGCTGCTGAAGATGATACTGGATGGTCACCAAAGTGGCACAGGCTGCTTTAATAACAACAAAAAGTTTGGCTTTCAGGGTCCTTGAGGGAATCCGTAATGCAATTCCCCAGTGAGTGGAACTGTACATCCGAGGACCATGGTAGTTCCTACTGTTACGGTCGTCATCCCTCCTTTAGAGGGCGCTCCTACCTTTTTTAGTATTATGTTTAGTTTAAATACCTTCACCCGCGTCTCGTCCCCCTTTTTGTTATTTAAGCCCAGCGTCTCCGTAGTTCTGGGCTCTGCTCTGGAAGACGGACGCCTGAAGGCCTGCCTATCCACTGGGCTCAGGAGCAGCCCGAGGGCAAGGCCTTATCCCCAGACATCCTGACCTTTGAGTCCGGGGCTCGGAGCGCCTTGCTCCGTTATGGTTTTATCTTCTGTGTTCCTGATCCCAGTTCCCTGTTCTGGTTTTTACCTGTTTTTGTCTCGGAATGACCTCCTGGCATTGGACATTGGACTGCGCCCAAACTACCCCCATCGGACCTCCCTTGGATTCGCTGCCTGCTCCCTTTCCCAGAGCTCCGGATCTCCACTGTCGCCACCCTCTGTCCGTTGACCCCACCTTCCCTGATTCTTTCTCCAGACACTTCCGGATTACACCGTCTCGCATAGGGTCTTTTACAACACACTTCATGGGAGTCAGAACCAGCTCTCTTGACATCTACAACGGGTCTTTGTAGTAGACTGGCCTTCAGGCTGCTTCCAGGTTCCTTGCGGAGGAGTTGAAATTGTTTAAAGGAGTATAGCCAGGAAAGCTATCCTAAACTGAATTCTAATGAAATTTTAAAAAATGGGCAACATGTTTGAGAGTATCCCAGTTAGATTATATTTTTTGCTGGGAGGGACCAGAAGTCTTCCTTTTTCTACCCTTTAGAGAGGATGCAAATGAAAATTAGTCAAAGCCAATTCATTCACATCCTTGTATAATCAGTCCAGCTGCTCCTAAATATACACATCCTGATGACATTCAGAATAAATGGCAGTAAATGTCTAGCTTGGAATTCACATGCTACTGCAAACAGCCATGTTAAAGGTCACACTTGCTGGGCCTTTTGTTTCTCCTTATTTGTGTTTCTTAGCACAGATTAAATATGCAAAAGCCATTGCAGTTCACATGAGATATACAGTATCTCTGTGGTTATTTTTTGGAATGCACACCAGTTCTTCAAATAAGAAGGAAAGTTGATGAGAATAATCTCGTGGAGCGGTGGCCCTGTGGCTAAGGATCTGTGACCGGAAGGTTGCTGGTTCAAATCCCGTGGCTGGCAGAGGAATCCTACTCCGTTGGGACCCTGAGCAAGGCCCTTAACCCTAACTGCTCCAGGGGTGCCGTACAATGGCTGACCCTGCGCTCTGACCCCCAGCTTCTCTCCCTGTTTGTGTCTCCATGGAGAAAAGCTGGGGTATGCAAAAAGATGAATTCCTGATGCAAGAAATTGTATAGGGCTAATAAAGAAACATTATACATTATTATTAATGAGAAAACTAGAACAGGCTGTGTGTGATGGGAATAGGCTGAAAACATCACATCTGCTCAGCTGATTGTCATTTAAACTCATCAAAGGGATTTCACTTTTCAAGACGACATTAGATTAAAAAAGACAGATTTGATTAGTTTTCTAAAGGTATGCATCTCAGTATTATTTTAACGATTTGTTGTACTCTGTGAATTCTGGTTTCATGTCTTTTAATTGGACACTCTACAGGAAATCATATTTACGGGTTGTTTTCCAGGTGTGTTTGACGTACAGTAGCTCATGCTGATTTTAACCCACCCAAATCATGCAGTGGGAACTACAGCTGTGTGGTGGATAATACATGATCCAATAATTACCTGAACCAAAAGCACAACTTTCTGTCTGGAAACCTGAAGTCACCAGGATAACATCTAACTTTCCTTGGCAGGTGTTTCAGTTTTGGAATTGGTCAGAGTGCCTGCAGGAGGCTGGTGATCGGGCTCTCAACTGTATCCAAAGGCACCGCTGAGTTCTTGACTGAGGGCGAGAGACTACAGCCAAAGGTATTTATTTCTACCTGCTCGTTCTTCTGTATGCTCTTCTGCAACATACAGTACTTTTGTGTAGATGCACTGTGTGTCATTGGATGTGAGGACATTCACTGCAGTCCAAGTGATGTCGCTTTATTTCGCTCTGTATTTTAAAGCACGTTTAAAACACTACTTCACCAATCCTACACATCTTAATTGTAACTAGCCAGAATATGTATCTCTTGTTCATGTAAATCATTTGGCTAAAATAATTATTGTTCTCACTTACAGGCGAGCATGAAGATAGCAAAGGATTATATTATTGGCCATAGATAGTATATGCGGGGTACCTATTAGCTATATCGTACTTTGAGACCTTTGGATTTCATTCCAATTAGAACAGAGTAGTTTATTGCCGTATGTACACATACATTGGAATTCTTAATCGTGCTATTCTCTCGGGACACACACAGTACAACAGACAACATCGCACAACGTAGACAACAAGAACAACAAATATGTTGTGGAACAACAAATATGTAGTAGTGAGACAAAACAATATGGTAGACCATGCAAAGTGCGTACTGCAATGGGATAGAAGCTGATTTTGTGTCTAATGGTCCTTCCTTTAATGATGTTATTAACTTATAAATTAAACTCTTAATTACTAGTAAAATAATGCATGTGTAACCTTGTGTGATTCTCAGGCTTAACTGAAACAGTATACAGAAATGAGTTCAGAAACCCAGCTTTGACCCAGCTTTGAACAAGGCAAATGTTAATAACTGTAACCTCAACCCTAATGTCTAAACCTGTCCAGCACTGTCCAGGCTGAAAAAATAAATAAATCAAATAAAAAGGTCTAATCAAGTAAATAATTCACTGAAAGGGCTCAATTAAAGTCATTTTACTGACATTCTGGTGAGCCATGTACTGCAAGTGCCCTAAATGAAAATTATTTTTTTTCCTAAAGGCATTCAGTACTAATGTGTCTCACAGATTGCAATCAAGCGCTCTGTTACTCAAGCGACAACATTGTCATGGTAACTAACATATGTATGGCCTATGTACAACAATGCAGAAGCATGAAGGAGCATTTCCCGTTTGGGTAGAATATCGAAGTTCAAACAGTGAGCAGCATAAAGTCTCTGCAGTTGCAAGGATACAGCTGGCTGGGTGATTCTAGTTTTAGAGAAAGGGGATGTGATGTAACAGAATGGTTGAGAAAGATTGTGATGCAACAGAGATCCTATGACTGGCTGGGTTCCTGTGAGCTTGCAGTG